GATCGGGAAGTACTGCACATAGTTGAGACGCTCCACGGCTGCCGGAGTGATGTCCAGCAAGGCATGCTTCTCCTGAAAGGGGGAAATTCGGTCACGTCGGCCCGTCATCAAGGCATACGTGCCCCGAATTAGAACTGGAATGTCACGCTTCACTCCAGAACACGGGAGAATTAAGCGTTACCCACACTCCTGGGGTTCTGCACAAGTCCCTGTTCTGGATGTACCCTCCTGATTAGGCAAACTGAGACTAGATACCCACCAAGCAACCTCCTCCAAGGGTGAATCGTTCTGCTGCATGCCCAGCGCTGCTAAGTTACCTCCAGTTACCAGAGGGTGGCAGGAAGGAGGCAAAGCCAGAGTTGCCAATCATGCAGAGACACAACAGGCAGCCTCCTTATTGGATACAGAGGCTGGCTTTCTGCAAGACCGGCAGCCAAGACCAGGTCTTACCTTTCTCACTGCTAATCACATCTCCTCCTACTTCCCACAAGAGGGCTCCTCTGTTATATATCCTCCAGTGGCCCCCTCCCTCCAATCTCCCTTCATCTCCCCCCACACACTTTTTAAATAAAAGCCCTCTTTTCCAAGTGGCGTTTATGTCCCTCTGATCTGAAGCCTGCGAGATTATGGGTGATCACAACAGTTACGACAGAGTGTAAAGGAACCGGCATTCAATACATCTCCTTTAATTGAGCTTGCTGATTCTCTGAATTTCGGGTTGCCAGCTCTGGGGTTGTGAAATCCCTGGAGATTTGGAGGTGGAGACATGGGGTGGGTAGAATCTGGAGAGGGGAAGACCCTCAGCAGGGTAGAATGCCACAGAGCCCACCCTCCAAAGCCTCCAATTTCTCCAGGGGAGCTGATCCCCTTTAGTCTGGAGTGTAGTTGTAATAATTCCAGAGGATCTTCGGGCCCCACCTGCAGGCTGGGAACCCAACTTCCTAAACATTTCAATGTTAAGTGAAAATGATTGGCTACTTTTAACTCCAGCCTCAATTAAGGCTGAGAAAGCCATCTAGGGCAGGGGTGTCAAACATAAGGCCCGGGGGCCGGTTCTGGCTCGTCCAGGCCTCTTATGCGGCCTGCAAACAACTGATTGAAGTAGGGTTGCTAAGTGTTACCTGTATCCGGAGCGGGGGACTCCCGGCTTGCTCCGGGAGCACGCGTGCCGCACGCACATCACCCGGAAGTGACGTGATGGCGCTGGGCACGCTGGGGGCGGGGCCACGACCATCCAAGGGGAAAACAAGCCTAGATTGAAGGGAGGGAGGGGGCAGAGCCACTCCATTATGGCTTTAACACAGCAGAACAAGCATTGTTGGGGGCATCTAGCACCGCACTGCTGCCTCTCCAGTCCGCCTCTGTGGGTTTTCCTCTGAACCCCCCTCCCACCCCAGGGGGCCTTGCTGTAAGGACATACCAACTCGGAGCTTACCAGCTGCTGTCCTTTATACAGTTTCTATCTCCAGTCCCTGGCATTAGCGTTTTACGGAACACATTGCCTGGCCCGACAAAAGAGATATTTATGTC